TGAGTGAACTTAAGGGAAGCCAGTTGAAAGACAGAATATTTCCAATCTGGTGCCGCTATATGGTTAAGATGCTACTAAAGACTCCTGCACCCTATATCGTAGTGCCTGGGCTAGAGTTTCACCTCTGGCCCCTGATTCCAGCTTCCTGCTAAAGCAGACCCTGGAAGGCAGTAAGTTATGGCTCAAGTGGTTGGGTCCATGCCAGCCATGTGGATAGCCTCGACTATATTCCCAGTCATTGAGAGGAAGCCAGCAGGTGGGAGCTCTTTCTCTATGTCCTGCTGTCTCTGACTTAGTTACAACAATGAAATCAATAAGCGCATGAGAATAATTTCCAAATCTCCTTAGACTGAATCTGAGCTCCCTGTCACCCAGGATAACCATCCCCCAGCATAAGAAGAGCCAGACATGATCTAGGAGCTGGGCCCAGAGCAGTCACCTGTATGGGTGGTGTGGAGGTAGAAGAATTAAGAGAAAGTGTGGGCAAAGTAGGAATCCAGCTGTTTATCCCCAGTGGTAAATGTGGAGGAAAAAGAAATATATAAGCTAGTCTTTCCCAAAAAGAGCCAGAAGTACATTTCCCATGGGCTGGAGCCATGGTACCCAAAAGGGACAGGAGCACCCCGGGGCATGTTTTGGATGTGGCTGGTGGGTGGGTGGGAAATGTACAGTTTTAGCCATGACTGGTCAGGGTTAACGGCATGTAGTTCCGCAAAAGTAGGGATACTGTGTTCTATTATGCTCAGCACAGTCTTGTACAATAAAGAACTGTCAAACACCCAGCCTCTCTTTTTAATGTCTTGCCACACATTCATGTGAGTCGAAGCTCTGTTTATAAATATTTGAGCTTAGAACCTAACTCTATCTCTCATAAAAACACTAAGTAAACCCTTTCTGGACCATTCTATCCTCCTGCTCCCTGAAATGTTTAAAGGAAAATCAGGTCACTTCCGAGCACACAAAACTGTGCATATGGTTTGATGACAAATATATGGAAAAGCAGCAGCTTATTGCTATAAATGAAATGAGGCTTTCCGGTTTAGAAACGGAAGGTCTGTTGTGGTTCAGAAGTGATTGGTGCAATTTCTAGAAGTTTAGTTACAATGGGTAGACCAGAATTGAAAGGAGCATTATTTAAATCTGAAGTAAAGGCAAGACTGGGAATCCAGGGAACATCCTTACCCCACCACCAGAGAGCCCACAGCCAGAAGTGTTTAATGATTTCACTGCTCAAGGAAACATGAAGGACGTCCCCTGGCCTCTGACCGGCTCTCCTTTGCTATGTAATGTCTCGCAGGTTTAACAGCTGCTGCAGACATCAGCAGTAATGAGACGGTGCTCATGCGTCTCTGTTATAGGAGCGCTTTACAGGAGGCGTGGATGTGTGAATAATGGAATGCAATCATGCAAATCACCCCGCACGGGCATGTGTGAAGAAGAGCTCTGATGGCATTGCTAAAATAGGTTGGCGACTTAGGGTGGCTTTGTTTTCCCATCTCTAGGGTGGACACATGGCTACTGACACATGCCCACTCCGTGTGGCTGTCCCGAAAATAGCCGAATGACCACAAGTTGCCAGGCAGCTGTATTCTGATGTCATTCCCCCTAGTGCCATCGCCAAAAGCCAATGTGAAACAATCACCCTCTCCACCTCCCAGCGCTTTCCAGTTCAGTGTGACATTTAAACAGCCGGTAAAGGTTTTCAAAGACTTAGGTTCATTTGCTCCTAAGTCACCTTTTCAAGTTTGATCTTGATAAGAAAATAATCTTTGCAAGCTTTCCGTGCATCATAAAAAAAAATAGATCCTTGCGCCACAGGCAGTGTTTCTTAACTTCACAAACAGTATCAGATGTAGGCAAGTGACGTGTGTTGGTCATACTTAAACTCCATTCTTGAGCATAGTACATCATCAAGGAACCATAAGTAGAGGTGAGTGTGAGGCATTTTTGTGAAAGTCCGTGGGGAAGTAAAATCTGAAGTTTAGATTAGTAGAACAGAGTGACAAGGTCGCCCTAAAGAAGGCTGAAATAGAGGTCTTCAGCATGCCCTGCTGTGCCCTGGGATCTTTCTGTTGAGAAGCACCAAACTCTGAGAAGAGCAGAGCTGTCTTCCAGCGGTAGCCCCTCTCTCACCAGACTTGGTTCTCAGTGGGATGTCAACTTTTGCTCCAAAACTGATGCCAGAAATGCAGAGTTGTACGGAACCCTTTGGATGCTAGTGCAGGTGATAGGTTTTGCTGTCCTCTTAGAATGGGCATCTTCGAAACCTCAGGTCACCCTGCTGTATTTGTCAGCTTAGCCACTGGACTCTGCCTCCAGCAATGACCCTGTCATCGCAGCTTGGGTTTACTCCTCACGTGTAGCATTCATCAGGAACAGCTCTGATTGATACAGGCCTGCCTTTACATGGCTTTATTATCTTCTGGGAGTGCTCACCCCAGACACTGCATGAGGCGTCTAGGTCCACTAGAAACCAGGCTAACGGGCAGCTAAAGTGAATCTTTTCCTGACGTCTGGTCTGTATTCTTAAATATTCCAAATTTCTTGTATTTATCGTGATGGTTGAAATCCAATAATGTATTCAGTTAGCTGTAAATATGCTGCTAGGATCTCCGTGTGACTTTTAAATGAACTCCTCAGAAAGAGTGTTGCTAAATACATCTATTTTTCTTAGACTATTTTTTAATTTAAATATTATTTAAATGCTTGTCACTGACCTTTCCCCCAAATATTAACATGATATAAAGGGCTGTCCTTGGGCCCAGCTCAGTAGCCTAGTGGCTAAAGTCCTTCCCTTGTGTGTTCTGGAATCCCATACGGGTGCTGGTTCTAATCCCAGCAGCTCCACTTCCCTTACAGCTCCCTGCTTGTGGCCTGGGAAAGCAATAGAGAAAGGCCCAAAGCCTTGGGACCCTGCACCCATGTGAAAGCCCAGAAGAGGCTCCAGGCTTCAAATCAGCTCAGCTCTGGCCTTTGCAGCTGCTTGGGAAGTGAATCAATGGACTTAAGATCTTTTCTGTCTCTCCTCCTCTCTGTATATTTGACTTTCTAATAAAAATATTTTTTTTTTCTTGTTGGAAAAAAAAAAGGCTGTCCTTTTGGAATCTGGAGTTACGAAATGTGGACAGGGTCCTGCTTTCTTCCCTTGGCTGTCGCGTGTTCTTCTGGACGGGCTGGGGAAGCCTTATTGTTCAGAGAGCAGCTTGCACCATAGGCACGGGGTTCCCAGTGTCAGCAGTCAGTGGCGTAGTCTGAAACCTCAATGTGTGGAAACAAGAGGGTGACATCGGGGGAAGGGAGCTGTCCGGCCTCACCTGGGCCTCCTGTCAGCTCTCCTCTCCCCCTGCTGGCCGACGGCTCCCTGCCGCCCTGCTGCCGGTGCCTCTCTGGGAAGGGCAAGGTTAGTCCCTGTGCAAGTAATTTCAGGTTCCCTGGGACCTGAACTGTTTTCAGTCAAAAAGAAAGGCAACTAAAAAGATGGTGTTTGTGTCTTCAGGAAGCAAAAATCTAAAGAACACGATTGGTAAAATAGCATGGGCAAAAAGAGTGTTCTGTGACGGTGTCCCCATTGTCTGGTCTGTAAGTGCAGTTTTCAATCCTTTTCAAGAATTAGAGTCCTTTCTTCTTCAAATTAAGGTTTATTAAGAATTTTCAGACATCTAAAGGAGGAGTCTTTGGACATTACTTAAATACCACCATTGAAGCATATTTCAGATTGCTCAATCAGTTTTAGAATTTTTTGTTTCTTGTTCATAAATGAGAAAAATGAATGTTCATGTTAATACATTTGGTATTCGTTATTAACAATACTCTGATGCATGTCACGATAAAGGTAATATAAAACCATGTATGCAAATAGCTTAAGGTTGACAGACTTATCTTTTCTGGGTCAAGTATTGACGTAAGCAAAATCATGGAATTTTCCAGTGGCACAAGAAAGATTTAAAGAAATTTATTGACTAAGAATATCCTTGAAGAATACCTTTTCCGATGTTCCTACTGCTTGTATTTTAAGTTGTGGAAAGCTTTGTTAGGTGAAAGATTAAAAAGTGAGGTACGTGGGGCTCTGAAACTTTAGGAGTTTGCCTTTCATCCTACTTTTTGAGAAAAGATTGTCGAAAGTTCTGGAAGCCGGAATAGTTTGATATTTATTCACAGTCAGGAGTTGGTAGTGTAAGATGCCCGGCCAAGAAAGTCAGAATGACTTTTGACTCATTATCTGTTGAACAGGTTTTTAAAACAGCAAATGTGCCATCCTGTTTAACTGCAGTAAGGTCTTGATTTTACCCTCCCAGGAAATTCACAACTGTGAGGAAAGAAGTTGAGACTTTATGTGTATACATAAATTGATGCCAGTTCATGTGTGTACACAGATTTTCTTTCTGTTTCTCTGTGCCCTGTCCCCACCCAGGCCCCCACCAACCCCATCACAGTTTCTATTCTCTTTCCTAGAAAACTTTCCCAGGTCTCAGAAATGCTCTAAATTTAGACAGAAATGATGTAGATTAGGTTTCTTTGTTTATGTGTTTAGCAGTAGGAAAATGGAGTCTTGAACAATGGATTAGTGCATAGAATAGGTAGGTACCCGTTTTGTAAGTCAACAGGGTGAGACAGCAAAACTACGCTGCCAGGCTTGGTTTTGATGAAATGCCACCTTCCTGGTGTCTGCGATGCATTCTGCCCTGTGCCGTCACACATGTAATCCTTTCTCAGACTTTGTCAGACCTCCCATGCTGTGAAGTGTGTATGGGTAGAATGGTGGCTCACAAGCGGCTCATTCACCCCTAAAGCAAACACTGCCAGGTCACAGCATCTAACCCAGCAGTTCTGACGACAGCTGTGGACAGGCTTCCAGGCAGTCCTCGGCCTCACGACTCAGACAGATCCCCCTTGAAACCTGCTGCCCGCCCCCAGCCTCGTCACTCAGAATTTTGGTATGAGAAAGGTCCTAAGATCACTAATAATGTACTTATCTTTCTCTCCCCCGCCCTCTTTTTAAGATCAAAAAATACTTTGAGCTTGAACCACTGGCACGTGGGAAACGCTGGATTCTGCAGCCCTGCTCGCTGGAAGACACGGATACACTGAAAGACAGCTTCTCGCAGCTGATCCATTTGTTAGAAGACAAAGATCCCCAGACTCTCCGACTGTGAAAGCTGTCTGAGCACACAGGCCTGGAGCCCACCATGTTAGTTCCTCATTGATTTTGCTATCAAGACTCTGATGGCCTCCATCTCTATGTTCCTCTCGTTGCTTCAGTCATCTCTCTTGTAAAGTGAATACTCTGTAAGTCAGGTGAAGCAGCATCGGCATTAACGTCAAGTACACACTACTGAGAGAGAATTTATTCTCTGTTTACCACTAATTATCTCCACCGCGTGTCTCTTCCTGCTGTCCTTCTCAGCATCTCTCCTCTGTGCTAAGACCCATGGAATCATGACTCCTGGAGATCAAGTCCCTATGCCAGACTTAAAGACTGTCACCTTCCTGGGGAAGGAAACACAGTCTTCTGTAACTGGGACTCCACATCGGATGCATATCATTTTTAAGGTCTCTTGAGGTTTTTATTTCATTTGACTATTTTTTTTTTAGGGTTATTTTAAAAAATATTGATGCTAGAGACTATGAGACAAGAGTGAGCGCCAAAAACTTCCATTAATCATCGCAAAGGAATCTCTTGCCATAGTCAAATTAACTTTGACAGACTTAAAGGACGAGATGTTTCCTTACTTACATCTGGAGCCCCACTCCTCTCTCTTGAGAGCAAATACATGATTTGGCCTTTTGAGAAAGAGTGAGAAGACATTTAGGCACAATGCATTTGCTAAGTCCTCAAGTTTTTTTTTTTTAACTGTGTACAGTCAAGCCACAACACAATCCAAGTATCTTTTTCTTAAAAAAAAAAAAAAATCAGTGTTTGATCAAAATAGAGAACTTAATTTTTAAAGTAATAAGATTTTTTAAACAGGCAAGCAAAGTATGGTATAGGCTGGTTAAGGTTTAGGCCAGCATGGATTTGGTGACAGTATCAAGGAAGCACGTGTATTCCCACTGCAGTAAGTGTAACAGAGTCAGCTACCTCCATCCAGCAGTGAAGGGTCTATCAGTATTTCTAATGTGAACCTCTATTTTCAGGGGTTCCATGTGCCCTTAAAAATGTATTGAGACCACACCAGATAAGTCTTTGCAGGGCTCAGATATTCAGTCTCTGGAACTAATGTTTTTCACAGATAATCTCGATAATAAAATTGCCTAGACATAGCTATACAGTTCTACTAAAATTTAGAGCCTTCGAGCTTTTCTAGATCAGGAATCATCTGTGGATCCTGAGATTCGTAGATGAAATCTTCTTGGGGCACATTTTGTAGACTTTTGACCACAGCTGATGCCAAGTGGCCAAACCAGAGACAACTGCTCCCACACCTGAGCAATAAAACTTGTTTGTAATTTCCAAGTTGAAGCAACTGATACCCGCACACCACAGACTCATGGCACATTTATAAGGTGATGTCATACCTTTCGTTTCTGAGAAGATGTACTTAACATCATGCAAATACAATTCTTGTGGTTCAGTCTTCTAAGTGGATTTTAATGTAATCATTGCCTTTGAAACATCTAACACGTCTTTAAGCCTTTTTTTAAAATAGTGTGGATCAAAAAAAAAAAGATGCACAGAGATTCACACATAATTCCATTTTAGCATCTTTGAGGTTTTCTTTCTTTTGCTTTTTAACACTGTGTAATCGTGAGCAGAACAAAACTTCTGTTTCGATAGCCAGTGACACAGTTCCTGATGTTGTTCTGTCCTGCTGTGCTCATCCTCCACACAGATTCTGTCTGGCTCTCCCGGCAGCTTCATTAAATATAGGATGTTGTCTTTTTAAGAGCTGGTGGTTAAGCGCTCCTAAGCCATCTGTTAAAGGACTTCCGTGTGTGTGTGTGTGTGTGTGTGTGTGTGTATGCACGCTCATGTGCGTGCCAGGGATGGGCTTCCCCTCAACCCCAGGATTGTCTGCAGCTCTCAGCCGGCAGAATGAAAACATTATCAATCAGTACCCAACAACAGCTGTTTTTGACAAGTTTCTGTCTGACGCCTAATGCTTTACAACTGTCAGTACGGCTCCTTCTTTGTCTAGCAGGTCAGAGCTGGCCGGCTTGCCGCTTCTACGTGGCACCCTGTCCGTGGAAACCTAGAATTTGCCATGTCTTGGAAGTCCACCAAGGGGGGTGGGGGTGGGGTGGTAGGACCGGGGCCCGGATGGGGATGGGTGGATGGGTGGGTGGGAATTGGGGGTGGATGTCCTCTTCCTAGGCTTATGTAAAATGCCACAGGTGTCTTCGTTTGCATATTCAAATATTATATAGGAAAAACAGTCTGTTATGTATTTCTTCACTTAGCTTCTTGTTATATTTATGGAAGTTACTAGTTTTTGTACCTTCTTAGCTAAAGCCAGTTGCCTTTTTTGTAATGGCAATTAATTTATATAAAACTTTGTATCTGCTGTGGTTTACAGTATTGGTTACTAGTTAACTGCCATATTGCCCTGTCTTTCTAATAAAAAAAAAATATTATTGTATCTCTACTTCAAAGCTAACCGATTCCTACAGACATTTTCTGGAGAACTCCTGCATACTGTCCCTGATTTGTGTATGGCTTCCACTATCTTCCAATGCAAATAAACACTGAGTAGAATGGATGCTTGCAGAGTGACTCCTTTGCACTTCAGCATTTGGGAGTCCCAGATTTCTGTTTATGTTTGTGCTGCCTATTTTAGTTTTCAAAATAAGTTGTGTTGCTCTTGGGTCAAAACAAATGATTAATTCACATTTCTTTTTTGAAGCCATTGTGAAAACCTTGAGAGGAAAAAAAAAGTGTCTTTTCCAGTTGATTTGTCCTCAGCAGCAATTTGCTTTCCTTGGAGCCATTCCCACAGGGTGCGTGGACAGACCCGAGACAGAGACGGGAATGTAAAGTGACATCTTGCAAAAGATCATGGTAGGATACTTGCTATGAAACAACTTTCTGAGGGTGGCATGGTTGGGTGCAATAAACTATTTCCTTCAATGGTGAGCGTGCCCCTTAAGACATAAGTCAATAGTTTTTCAGTGACTGAAGAGCAAACACTATGCATTTTTAGGTCTTTGCTTAAGGTGAAGATTTCCCTATAAACAACTGAGAAAGAAAAAAAAAATCAAACAATGGGCAGACGGAAGAGGGCAGAAAGGGACATCCTAGCTCTCGCTCAGGCCCAACAGCAGCTTCACCTCCACACGGTGCAGTTCCCAAGCTTCTAAACGTCTCAGACCTATCCGAACACAAGTGTAAGATTTGGAAGCCATGGGGTTTTTCTTCATGGACAGATTGCATATTCAGACATGAGTGGAAATCTAATATTCCTCCTTAGCTCATCCTCTTGATGAGTTTAGAGTGCGGTTTTCATTAACCTCCTGACTTAATGGCAAGGTGGGAGTGGGGTGGTAGAGCTGGAAGTGGGAGTTACCCTACCCGTGGGAATCCCTCATTTTCACTGTGTTTGGAAGGGAACAACTGACTTTGTTATGCAGAAGCATTAGAATATAGAGTCACTGCATTCCCTTTGGGTCCTGGAAGATCTGAAGTTCATGCTGCAAAACGAATTAGCACATCATGTTGGGAATTCCTGGCTCCCAAGGGTTCACAACTTTTGGTCACCACTGAGTGATTAAAGATTTGCATCTCAAGGTTAAAGGTTTTCCAACTCAGATGCATGAAGTGACTGATGAACCCATCTTGGCATCCACACCCCCGCCTCCCCCTTGTACTAATTGGGGAACATGAAAAGGATCCCTTGTAAGACCCAGAAGACTCCAATGGGCTATCAGTTTCCCCTCCCCTTCCCTATTCTTTTTGAATTAAAACCAAAAGTAAGAAACTTTCCTTCTGCCCACTGTTTAATCAACTTTGGAAATTCTGACTTCCCATTCCCCTAATGTGACTTTCTATAAAACTAAGGCAAAGCATTAAAAAAAAAATGTCCCAACGAAGAATCTCTCCAAACATGCTTTGCCCAGCATCCTCCTTTCCTTTAAAACAGAATAAAGAAATGTTTATGATTTTTTTCTCAGATTTTCTCCACAGTCTCCTCGTACCTTCCAACTTGGCCCCCAGGAAGCACTTTGTTCTCCGGGTCCTGGTTTAGAAAGACAGTCTCCAAGGGACTCCTAGCACTCAGCTGTCCCTTGCCCTTCACCTTTTTGCTCTCCAAGCTGGTGGATGTCACGTAAGTGTTTCGTTGAGGCTCACCCACCGGTGTCAATTAACATTATTTCCCAGGGTGTGGTGAGGGTTTGGTGGTTTTCAAAGCACCCCCCACTTACCAAATACATCGTCTCTGGTCCCAGGCACTGTTTGGAGGATAAGGAGAGGGGCCCTTGATTGAATGTCTCACCAGTCTTGGTCGTGTTTATAACCCATTCCAATTTCTGTCACAACCCCCCACCCCCTTCTCCTGGAGCTAGTTAAGAACCACCTGGGCACAACCATCCAAAAACACTTTTGCAGAAAACACAATCTTCTGCAACCCACCCAAGAAGACTGCATTTCCTTTCTTTCCTCTATTTTTTTTTTAACTCCCACCCCCCAATCTCTCCCTCTTATGCTGGGAAAATATGCTACACAAATGTTTGAGCCTGATTCTTTGTAGCATCAGCATTCCAAGCATGGAGGTGGTCCCCAGAGAGGAAAGCCTGGCTCAGACCCGCAGGGACAAATCAAAGCCAGCCTGCCTTGAATAAGCATCAGCTTCCCCAGCGCCCCGCTTTCACTGCCTCCTTGTGGGTTGTGGAGTTGGGGGCGGGGGAGGTCTGGGAGGGGAACAGGTCTGTTCCAACAGCCTAAGATCACTTACATCCCAGGCAACCCCGCTGAAGGTGTGAAATCCAGCCTCGAATGCCACAACCTTCACTGACAAGTGATTCATGGAGACACAGGCTGGAGCTCCAGCATCAAACAGATGTCAGACAAAACACCAAACGCCTATAAATGATTGCTTTGCAAGCAACGGAATGACTGGAAGACTGGGCCTAATGATGTACGCTGTGTCTGGACAAGCTTACAGAAGACGTGGGGGTGGGGAACTGGTTTTAAACAGTCTGTGGAAAAGGCTGTTTCTAGAGAGGAAAGGGGAACCACCATCCCTACCTGAGAGGCCCATGCGGAGATGGTTTCTGGCGAGTTTTTGTCTAATATATGTAAAGGTCAATCCAAAAAAAAAAAAAAACCACACATGTCAGGGGCACCCCAAAGGCCAGCCTTGCGTGATATGATATTAAATCACTAGACACATAAATAAAAAATGAGAAGATGGTGTCGGAATGGAAACTGCTCACCTAAAGGCAGAGACAGGAATGCAAACAGCAAGTCTGGCTGTCATTCTTTCTCATCTGGAGCAAGTCAGGTTTGCCTCTGGACCTTCTCCAACTGTTTTACAACTTTCTAGACATGCGGTGTATCAACCCAACACTTTCATGAAGCAGTTTCGACAGGATTTTTGAAATGACAGAATATACAGAGAAACTTAACCTACCAGTGTCCTTTTCTTTCTTTCTTTTGTTTTTTTACAGGTTTCTTCTTGCAAGTAGGACTTTAGACTTTTGTGACATTGAAGGCTTTCCTTCATCATTCAATACAGTTTTTGTTGAACACATACTTTGTGCTAAGCATTGTGGTGAATGCTATGCAAACTGTAGTATACATGACATAGTCCCTAGCTCTGCATGATTTTATTTTCTGCAACATTGGTTAAGTTGAATTGTTTGTCTAAGCCAGAGGATTGGGGTGGGGGGATAGTTGTGTGTGTGTGTGTGTGCGTGTGTGTTGTTATATTAAAACTGCAATTTTGAAGATCCAAAGAGCTCTAGATTTTCAGTCCTAATTCCTGAATGTGAACCCTCCTGATTTAGAGTTTGTTTGTTGTTATTGTTGTTGTTTTCAATGCTCTTTGGTTTCTTTTGAGACCATAAATAAAACTAAGCATCTAAACACATCCATGGAAAAGGTTTTGTCTCTTGTTAAATCTTTCTAAACAGAACTCCATAAAGCTAGCACCTTTTATTCTGCTGTTTTACTGCTGTAACAATGAAGAATACGGCTAGCACACAAAAGTATTTCTAAAGTATTAAACCAAGTTCTGTCAGCTGCCTGCTGTTCTTTTCCTGATGCTTGTGTTCAAAGGGCTCTACCTCTCTCTCTAGAACAGCTTCGTCTCATTCTTCCCCCTGTGTCGATCACACACATGATCGATATTTGAAACGTTTAACGTTGACTTTCCAAGAGGAAACTTCTTCACTGGCAGTGTCTTCCGGGGTGGCTGTGTTGGAGTATGTCATGTTTGCCTGCACAGAGGCAGCAACCTGGAAAGTTCAGAGTTCTCTGGATTTGTTTGTTCTATTTGCTTTTTTTTTTTTTTTAACCTAAATGGATAGCAGTGAGTTTCAGCTGATCAGGAGGCCACTTGGTTTTTTCTCCCATCGGGGATTGGGAACGTCAAGATACCCCTTTGGATGGGACCGTTGTATATTGCAAGATGGTTCTTGTGCAAGCTTCTTCATTTAGAAGGAGTCGTATTTTGATTTCAGATACTTTTGCAAAGTCTCTATCGATACCAGTTGCATTTTTTTAGACACTTGAAGTCCTACCTTTCTTTCCTTAATTGCCCCTGTCCTGTGAGAAATGTGTCCCGGAGAAAGCCGCCAAATAACCCCCTGCAGGGTGCTGGCCTGAAAGTCTGGGTCAGATCACAAAAATTGCCTGAAACACAAACCTCAATTTCCATTCACTTTGTCACATTCGAAACACAGCAGGATCCGATAAGGTTATGTAATATCAAAGTTAAATTAACTCACATAGTTTACAGGCAGTACTTACCCGTAATGGAATAAGGATCTGACCAATGCCCATCACTGTCTACAAACATCACAAAGAAGGAAGCAGGCAGGTATTATTGGTGACACCAGCATCCATATGGACACTGGTTCAAGACTCACCTGCTCCACTTCCAGTCCAGCTTCTTGCTAATGCACCTGGGAAAGAAGTGAAGATAACCCAAGCATGTGCTCTACACCCACATGGGAGATCCAGAAGAAGCTCCTGGCTCCTGGTTTCTGGCTCCAGTTTGGCCCAGTAACAACCACTGTGGCCATGTGGGGAATTAACTCATGGATGGGTAGATCTCAGTCTGTTCCATGTTCTTCAATTCTGCACTTCAAATAAACTTTCTTTCTTTTTTTTTTTTTAAATCAGAGGCCTCTATTGTGGCATAGTGGGTAAAGCAACCACTTACAATTCTTGACATCTCTAGTGTGGCCCTTGTGTGATTGAGTCCCGTGTACTGTACTTCTGATCCAATTCCCTGCTTTTGGCCTGGGAAAAGCAGCAAAAGATGACCCAAGTACTTGGGCCCCTACCACTCACATGGGCAACTCAAAAGAATTCCTTGGCTCCTGTCCCCTGGCTTTAGTATTGACCCAGCCCTGGTCATTGCAGCCATGTGGGAAGTGAACCAGCTGACAGATGCCTGTCTCTCCCCTTCTCTCTCTAACTCTGACTTTCAGATAAATAAATATTTTTGATAAAGAATGGCTGTGAGCAATAACTGTGGAAGCCAAATGACAGTGATAAACATGCATGTACCGTGTTTGCTGCCTTTGAATGTGCAAC